AGTGTTCTCCTTTCAGTACGTATCCTTGTTTAATAGAATATGCTGGTTAACTAGGTTGTCTTATCCAGGAACTGCTCTTGAATTAAAATCTGCTAGCGTTCCAAATTGGAACTGCGGAAGTAAACACAGAATTTCTGGCAAATCACAGAACAGTTCACCGTTTGGTCTTTCAAGCAGTTTACAAATGTCTCCAAGTAGGTACTGAATGATGTAACTGAATTAGGGCCTCGTGACTGTGACAAGCAGGTCTTAGAATTGTGTGTGCCTTATGAGTACATTCATCAAGGTGGTGGGACTGGCTCATCACCCCATGTTGAATGGCAAACCTGGGTTTGTTGTTGTGTAATGTGTGGAATGATCCTGAGAAATCTTAAATCTATCAGACTGGTCTTTAGTTATCTTGCCTAAATTACAAGGGACAATGTTGTCTTTGGTTGTGGCTTTCAGTACTGTAACTTGAACTAATACCTAAATTTTGCCTGGGGTTGTCATGATGCTTAGTTATCCGTGCCGATGCTCTCTTGTTTAATTGTCCAGTACTTTAATTGAACTTCCAAATCTCTCTCTTTAAGCAGATTGGAAGATGATTGTGGCAAAGACTACAGAGAAAGAGAGCGAGAGTATGACCGGGACCGAGAGTATGAGAGAATCCAGCGTGAGAGGGACAAGCTTAGGCGCCAGGAAGATGAACGGCGGAGGCAGAAAGAACGCTTTGAGAAAGAGAAGGTTTTCAGAAGAAAAGAGGAAGACATGAAAAAGGAAAGAGACTGTTTGCGAGAGAAAGGAAAGCGGTCTGAATTGAGTGACTATCTAGGCAATATGGAGAAACCCGAGAAAGTAACCAAAGAGGATAAAAAAGAAGAAACGGCTAAGAGGGATCGCATTAGAAACAAGGTGCTGACTCTGTGATCTGTTTTCACTATTTGCCAGGCTGTGCATTTAGCTTTTGTGATAAGTTGTTTAGGGGAAGTGATAAACTGCCACAAACTCATCTGTATTTATTAATATCATACAAGGTCTAAATGTTGATTCATAATGCAGCTTACTTCTAGCTAAAGATTAATACATTTGCAGTTAAAGTCCCTTTTTCAGGCAGATTTATTTTAAATTTTAAAAGTGTCATATTATATAAAACAACTGGTTTTATTATATAAAACACACACATACACACACACACACATATATATATATATATATATATATAACATCTGGATTGGCACCTGAGTTGCCAGAATATTTGTGTTTAGGTCCTGCACACTGCATTGTATGCTAGAATACCTGGCTGTGCTATAAAAAGGTCACCTGTTCTTTCTCCAAAGAGTTCAGGGTGAGTCACAAGCAATGCTACCTCTAAGCTATGGCGTCTTGTGAGCAAAAATTCTACTTTGTGAGCTACTGGCATTAAAGTTGTGAGCGAGTGATTTGGCTGCTGCATAAATTAGTTTGCTCTGGAGCCATCCTTCCTGAGCTAAGACAAAACTCTGTGAGCCGGAGGCTAAAAAACTGTGAGCTAGCTCACACTAACTAAGCTTGGAGGGAACACTGTCACAAGTGGCTGTCTAATACTCGACTCCCCCCAAGTTAGGCTGAGAGATAGTAAAATAGCCTAAAATGGCCCAGTAAGCCTCAAGGCTAGGAGAGATCTTGAACTCAGGACTTTCTGACTGAAGTCCAACACTGATCACTGATCTGCATTAAACTGAAAGCAGCTTATCACAACAGAATGTATTGTTAATGTTTCAGGATCGCCCAGCCATGCAGCTCTACCAGCCAGGGGCTCGAAGTCGGAGTCGTTTATGTGCATATGATGAGAGCTCTCCAAAGTCGCCTGATCAAGCAGTGGATAAAAAGCTGGAATGTGAGACGATGAACACAAAAGAGGAAGACTGATGAGCCGTGGGTTTTTGGACCAACCCAGCAGCCAAAGAGCATGAACTGCGCAGTCCAGAAGTGCCTTGGAGGAGGAAGAGGGAAAAGGGGGACAGTACTTTTGGATGTCTCTGGTTTCAAAGCCTCAATGCAGAGTCGAGACTCAAACTGTATTCTCGAAGTTCATTGTCACGGGCGGGAGGAGGAGATGGTGATTGTGGCAGCGAACTGCAAGGGGGAAGAAAGCTTTCCAATTTCTTAGAAATAGGCGTAATTGCCCCCCAGATAAGTCATGTGACTAAGGGTATCCCAACGCCATGCTCTCTTTGAAATAGTAGCCATGTACCAGTATTTGCACTTAAATACAGCCATCTTGGACCCTCAGGATTGCTCAAGTGTTAATGCCTTTATCACTGCGCTGTGTGGAATCTGTAACTAACCAGGGTGGGGGAAAGTAGTTCTAGCGCTGAGAGAGGTTTTTGTCTGTGGAGCTGCTTGCAGCTGATAGCAGAATGTGTTTTTAGATCAGGAGGCCGCTACACTTTGCTTATTTCCCCCCATTACGACTATAAAATCTTCACTGAAATGAGAGGATTTTTTGTTCATACCTTGTGTGATATCCAAATACTGATGCAACTTCATTTAGCTGTGTAGTCATTTCCAGCTTTTCCTCTTTTCCTAGTGCTAGAGGGGAAAACGTTCCATTTCAGTTCTTCATTGTCTCTCCTGAGGCATTAGAGTGTCTTGCAACCCAGGAAGAACTTTTACTAAGAGTTGCAGCTCCTCCTTATTGCTAACACAACACAGCTATTTTGTACTTAATAAAACTCTTGAGAGATACCATTTAAAACTTGCTTAAATTATTTCTGGCATGTTTGAATGTGCACGTAGTTTCCAGTTTGCCTTCTGATGTGGTCTTCTGAATTGCTCGTGATGCCATCCAAAGGTGCCTTTAAGTGGATGTTCCTGATCCTTTTCCAGCTTGGTAGTGCATTTAAGTCTATATCCTGCCTTCTGACTGTGCTAGTGCACTACTGAAGTCAGATATTTACACTACACCCCCGGTACATTACTTTGACACCAAAAGTCATAGCCCTAATGTTTTCTTACAGAATGCAGTACACAGGTGTGTCAAAATAATAAATGTATATATCAATTGACTTTTTGCAGCTGTTTAGTGGTAGCCGTATTGTAATGCCAGGGCTGGTGTAGCACACTAGCTAAGCATGGGACCTCTGCCTTTAGAATTCATTGCTTCAAAAGTCAGCTCTGCCATGAACTCATCATAAGAAGAAGAGTTAGTTTTTGTACCCTGCTTTTTTCTACTGTAAGGAGTCTCAAAGTGGCTTTCAATCTCCTTCACTTCCTCTCCCTACAACAGGCACCTTGTGAGCTAAGTGGGGCTGAGAGAATTTTGAGAGAACTGTAACTGGCCCAAGGACACCCAGCAGGCTTCATGTGGAGGAATGGTGAAGCAAACCCCGTTCTTCAGATCAGAGATCACTACAACACACTGGCTATCACACCAGCTTAGGTAGCTAGAAACCAGTATACTCTCAGGTGAATTCAGTCTTCCATTCCAATGTAAAGGTAATAGAAACTGCTGACCTTTACAGATCTGTCTCTCAGGACGTGAAAACTAGAAGCAGCTTAGAACACAAAAGAGTACCACACAAATAGTTTACAGTATTAGTAAGATCTGCCTTGTCCCATGCACAAATGAGGCAGATCACACTTGACCTGCAGACTGGGAGAAGTGCTATGATATCTATGTGCCTGCTGTAAGGCACATCTATGAAAGGCCCATGCTCAGCCCTGTTCTCGGCCTGTGTCTTCTTGCCTCCATACAGTTTACATACTGCTGCTGAGTTTTGGGGCTTTTATATCCAACAATAAAGTTACAGCAGGTTGATGTGTTAGGCTGATGTATCAGAGCATGTACGCATTTAGAATCCTAGCCAAATTTGTTTTCTATCCTGTAACCTACTGGAATTATATTCTTTGGTTTACTTCTTATTTAAATTTTAAAAAATTAAAAAATTGCTTTCTATATGGTTGCCAACCTCCAGGTAGTGGCTGCAGATCTCCCGCTATTACAGCAGATTTTCAGACAACCGATCAGCTCACCTGGAGAAAACAGCTGCTTTGGAAGATGGTCTCTATGGCAGTACACCCCATTGAAGTCCCTCCCCTCCAAACCCTGTCCTGAGGCTCCACCCCCAAAAACTCCAGATAGTTCCCAACCCAGAGCCGGCTACCCTACTTTCTTAAAACAAGCAGGGTTTAATTTTTAAAATGGGTGCTGCTGCTCTATCCCATAATTCTTGTGACTAAAGGGTTGTGCCCCACCCAAAAAATTGTATTTATTAGAGCTTCAATAATATGGCTTGAGCCCTGGTACAAATTGAGTTCCAGTCAAAAGTGCTAATACACTGTGTGTATGAACTCCAACTTCAGAGCACCTTCAGTCCCTGGGTCTCATTGCTGGGGAGACATTTGGCTAAACTGCTGCATTTGCTATTAATTAAGGGGAAATGCCATTGTTTTTTCTTTTGTCCTCGCAACCTGAAAGCTTGTTTTGTACCCAGCACCAACTGATCTAATTCACTTTTGTCTGCAGCATGGCCTCTTTTCCACTTTAAGGCTACAATTACAGACGTTGCCACTGTGCCTTCAAACGAACTTATTATTCCTTCCCCCTCTTCTTTTTTTTTGTACTGACCATCCAGCCTCATGGAGAATTCTACAGAACTCAAAAGCTTGCAGACTATTTTGTGGTACTTTGGTTGGTCCAGTAAAAAGTATTTACTCCACTTCTGTTCTCGAAATTTGTCAACAAACAAGCGACTTGTGACTTTCAATCATAATACAAATTCATTTACATGTGAGGGTGCCCAAAAGTATAAAATAGAAAGCGGCCAAATGTATTGTGGTAAGGTTTATAAGACCTATTAAAATCAGAACAATATTTTATCCCCGCCTTAATCGTAGTGGAAAAGTTCTGCAGAATAGACCTCGAACAGATGACGTCAAAGGAGAAAAGGCACGCCTTTATGGGATACGTGTTTCGCCAGGCGTAGAAATGTTCCTTGAGTAACACCAGGGGTCGCTGTAGCTGAGGAAACTCTAGCCCGCTTTTTCCTGTCTTTTCTCTCCTCCGTCACTTGATGCTCCGCCTTTCCTTTCTCTCTTCCGCTGCGACATTGTGGTGAGCGGCTGTGAGGTCTTGGCCATGGTAGGTGAATCCGTTGCAATCCTCGGTCGTGGCTCCTTCGCAGGCTTCTGGGAGTCAGTCTTGGCTCTCTCGGGGGTCCCCACGAATGAGCCCAAATGGAGTTAGTAACCCGAACGGTACTCTGAAAACTTGGGAGCTCCGGTTGTGTCTTCCCCCCGCCGCTTCCACTAGTAGTTTGTGGGCCTCTGGAGGCAAAAACAAATCCAGAGGATGGGTGAGGGAGGCTTTAACTGAAGCCAGTGATTTCCGGGGTGAGGGCGAGAGACTGCAATAATAATAGTTACTTAGCATTTGTATGCCGTTTTTAGTGTTCAAAGTGCTGTATTTCACTGCTGTCATTCTTGCACCAGTCGGCCGGTGTTATTACTCTTGTATTACCCCTGTATTGGGGGTGGCTGAGACAAAGGCTGGCTTAAGGATGCCTACTGGCTTTGTACCTGAGGTTTCAACCGGGGACCTCCCAGATCTCAGATCTCTCTCTTAGCCCCTACGCCACACCTGCTTAGTGGGAATAGGTTTTTCTTGGTTGAATCAATAGCAAGTGTTGCTCCACTTTTCAGTCTAAATTGGCTCCCAGATTATTAAAATCATTCATAACGATATAATGCAAGCAGTGCTCCCTCTAAGCCCTCACCCCGGAAATCACTGGCTTCAGTTAAAGCCTCCCTCACCCATCAAATTTTCTGGATTTTTTTTTTACCTCCAGAGGCCCACAAACTACTAGTGGAAGCGGCGGGGGGAAGACACAACCGGAGCTCCCAAGTTTTCAGAGTACCGTTCGGGTTACTAACTCCATTTGGGCTCATTCGTGGGGACCCCCGAGAGAGCCAGTTTGGTGCAGTGGTTAAGTGTGTGGACTCTAATCTGGGAGAACCGGGTTTGATTCCCCACTCCTCCACTTGCACCTGCTGATGTGACCTTGAGTCAGTCACAAGCTCTGGCACAGCTGTCCTTGAAAAAGAGCAGTTTGTGTCAGAGTTCTCTCAGCCCCACCCACCTCACAGGGTGTCTGTTGTGGAAAGGGGAAGGGAAAGGAGTTTGTAAAACGCTCTGAGACTCCCAAGTGAAGGGCGGGGTATAAATCCAATCTCTTCTTCTTCTTCTAAGTTGAGTTAGTGTGAGCTAGCTCACAGTTTTTTAGCCTCCGGCTCATACATTTTTGTCTTAGCTCAGGAAGGACGGCGCCAGAGCAAACTAATTTATGCAGTAGCCAAATCGCTCACTCACACCTTTAATGCCAAGTAGCTCACAAAGTAGAATTTTTGCTCACAAGACTCCACAGCTTAGAGGGAACATTGAATGCAAGGTGCTTATAATGCACAATCTCTGCCAGGTGCTTACAGTTCTTCAGACGATTCCCTCTTTTGTCTGTTAAATCCATATAGAATAATATTTTTCCAATTTATTGTTACCGATCGTCAACTCCCAGTGCTTGATTCTCCACTGCTAGCCCTTCCTGTGCTGCTCTTAAGTGCCACTTAGGGAGGTTTGCACCATGAATGTTATGAAAAGCACCAGTAGGGGGTATATAATTAAGAAATGAGTACCACTGATTAATTCAGGAGAGCTTTACTCCTCTAAGTGTGTGTACATAGAATTACAGTTATGGGTCCGGGTCATAATGCAAACAGGGCTTGTGTGACTGTTTTTCCAAACAAGAAGAATCCCTTACATCTTGTTTTCTGCTGGTAAAGGATATAGTTCATATGGAGGAGCCATTCAGTAAGGAGAGCTCCACATACAATGTGAAGTGATACAGCCCAGACATAGGTTTATCAGCTAAGTGCAAAGTAGGTTTTAGACTCTTTAACTTCACCTTTAGGATTCCCTGGGGCTGTATAACTACAAAATGCAGAGGAGTGGGGCATGTTTGAATTCTACCATGTGTTAATAATTCCATTTACCTAAAGGAAAATAAATAATACCATGAGGAAAAAAGGCAAATTTTTTTAACATGAATCTGTTTATAGGTCTTAATGCATGAAATGAATGAGCCGGAGAACAGCAAGCCCCACCACCTGGGTGCCGGTAGGCAGCCCCTGCCCCTGTGCCATGTGGCCGTAGATAGGGAAAGTAGACTTAGACTCCGTATGTAAACCGCCCAGAGACCCTTCTGAATGTATAAATAAATAAATAGCTTACATGTTACTGTAGGGTGTAGCAGTGACCCAACCAGAACCAGATTGGACCTTGGTGACTGGAGTATTGCAAACTGGGATTGATATGTTGGGAGTTAGAGTCAAATGATTTAAGACCAGGGTTTTTTTTGCAAAACTAACTAGGTGACCTAACATGTTATATAAAGGACAGGGAAATTCTTACCAGGTCCATATTTCTTACCCTGTGCTGCATGGCTCAGGGTAGGCACTGCTTTTCAGGATAGGTACAGTAATGATGGGATGGATTACTTTCCATTTCTTTCAGATATGGAGACTGAAACTCTCCCTACTCATTCTCTTCTCTTCCCCCCTCACGTGAAAGTCTACTGAACTAAGGCTGCGGTCACACGCAACATTAGCCACGCAAGAGATATGGAAGACAGGCGGAGTTTCCGGGCGCGATCTCACCAGCACATCTGGGGAGCGTAGCGCTTCTGTGGCACAACCGAGGCTTCCTCCCGAAACCGCGCAGCAAAAAACTAGTACCTCGGAGGTACTAGTTTCCGGAAACTGCGGGGCAAGGGCGGGCGTCTGATCGCGTTTCCGGTGGCATCCGGCGCCCGCCCATGTCCCCTTGTGAAAAAGGTTTTTTTTTCCCAAGTCCCCATGGTTGCGCACATGCACCCAACGGAGCATGCGCATTCGTAGTGAACACAAAAAAAGAAAACTAGTTCACCGCGCCGTGCGCTTCTTCGTTGCGCGCAGGCATGTGTTGTGATCGACGCCTCTCCGTAACCACAGAAGCTCCACGGTACCTCCACAGAACCTCCACAGGAGGTATGATCGCTTTACTGCGTGTTAGTTTGCCCCAGGGCAAACAGCCACGCTTCCCCCCCGCAGTTTCCTGCCCGTGTGACCGGGGCCTAAGTCTACTATAAGCCCCTTAAACTATTCCAGTTACTGTTTTCACATAATATAAATAAATAAATAAATCTTGCTCGATTCTGACCACATTCTCCTGTGAAGCTTGATTGCTTCCTGTCCTGTTCAGACACATCCACTCTTCAGTGTTGCCATGGTGGAAGACAACCAGCATGACATCTTTGGTTGCCCAAAATTTTTCCAGCTGTTTGAAAAGTTAGGGCCCCCCCCCCAGTACTATAACTAGTACTGTTTGGTTTTTAAAATATTTTTCTTCTCTTTTTCCCCCCAGTCCTCCCACAAGACATTCAAGATTAAAAGGTTTCTTGCTAAGAAGCAGAAACAGAACCGGCCCATCCCACAATGGATCCGTATGAAAACTGGCAATAAGATCAGGTAAGAAGTATACTTAAGCACTCAAAATTTAGCACAGGAATGCTAGCATGAACAGGTCTTAAAATCATTGGCTGAAGAGGTGTTTTTCCCCCTTCTACCTTTCTTTTGTACTTATTTTTGTGATATCCTGCCTGATGAAGAGTTCTGGTGAACGTGAAAACTTGCACACCGTTTGGTGTCTTTTGGCTTGCCCTAATAAAAAGTGTTGTGTGGGTTGTGGGGTTGTTTTTGGATTTTGCTTTTTGGAATATATTTTCCAAGGTTGGAAATATATGGGAATATATTTTCCAAGGTTGGCTCTGCGAAAAGTATTGTCACTGTGATTGGTATATGTGTTGTGGTCAGTTTGCTTCATTGCTGGCCCATTCACTTTGTGAAGACAGAAAAAGCACACTGTAGTTGCAGACACCTTCTATTTCTTTTCTATGCCGTTGGCACACCACTAACTCTTCCTTAGTCCCTGCCACACGAGGGAAAAAAAGGGCGGGCAAAGTGCGGCTTTTAAAAGCCGCACCAAAATAGGCACGCAGCGGCGGGATCATACAGATCCCGTGAGCTGCTGTGCAATTGCTCCCCGGCACGATCAGATACCGGGGAGAAAGCGACGGGAGGCTGCCGAACTGCGCATGTCTGAGCGTGCGCAGTTCGGCCAGGAGCTGGGGATGCGCCAGCGGAAGAACACGCCGGCGATCCCACGGCCGGCTTTGATGCGGCCTTCCGGAAAGAACCACCTTGATAGGTGGTTCTTTTTTGCTGCGGGTTATCGTCGGAAGGGCCGGATCGGGGACGGGTGCTCAACGCTTCCCAGATGTTGCGGTGGGATCGCGCCCGTTTGCGCCGCCCCCGATCCGTCCCTCTCCCAGCCCAAATCCTCTCATGTGACTGGGGCCCTTATTCCCTTGATGATGGCACAAATGCATCAGAATAATGGCCATGGATTCTGCTGCTGGTGAATGGATTATGGGGGACCACTGTGAACTGTTTTCAGTGTTCGCTTGGTGTTGCAGATGGTCTGGCAGTCAGTCTTTTTGTCACAAGTTCTTCTTTGCTTAACAAGTAATTAACATGGAAGTTGCTGCCAGGGGGTGGAGTGATGGCTGCAGGCAGAGAATAGTAGGGACTGCCTTTCCTCACACATTCCCCAGAGAGCACTGCGATCAGGAACACAAAATTGCCTGGCTCTCCCTGGTCCTAAGGATGCCAGGCTGACATCAACCAGGACCAGGGCGTTTTCCTTGGCGGTACCGACTTACTGGAATGAGCTTCCTGGCAAGATCAGGGCCCTGCGGGACCTCTAGCAGTTCCGCAGGGCCGTAAAGACGGAGCTTTTTCACCAGGCATTCCAGTAGGAGCAGCACCTATCGGCCAAGCCTGTGCCGATCTGCCAGCTGAAGCTATCCAAAGTGGGTGCATCGTGGAACGTGTCTCACTTTATTGTATTGTGCCGCCAATGATGTACAAATGGTTTTATAATGTTTATGTGTTTTACTCCGAATTGTATATTGTTTTATTGGTTTTATGTAAGCCGCCCTGAGCCTGCTTTGGCGGGGAGGGCAGGGTAAAAGTTAAATAAATAAATAAATTTCATGCAGGGTAGATCCATCAGTGGCTACTAGCGGTGGTGACTATAGGGAACTGGCATAATCAGTAGACCTCTGAAAACCAGTGCCACCGGCAACATCCTCTTGGCCTTTGTGACCTGTTGTTGGCCCTCCGGAGAACAGGACGCTGGACTGGATGCTCGGATCCAGCAGGGCTCCTGTTATGTCGTCTCCAAGCACGTGTCCGTTGTTTAGATGACTCTCCTAGAACCAGGGGTTCCCAGTGACACAGACAAGCTTTGCCTTAAAAGGGTTCATTCTTAATCTCTTGGTTTTGTTAAACCTGATCTTCCCACTGTGTGTGGGGGGGTTGGTTATTTCTTTCCATATCACTTCCCTGCCTTTCTGTTGTTCTTTCTCACATCACCTGTCCAAAGAGATAGATAGCCTTCATTCGCTAGCAAAAGGCTATAACTTTGGCTACACTATAAGGATTATTGAATGTAGCCTCTGGCTCTGCAGAAGGTAAGCCAGCTTGAAGGTTTCCTAAAGCAGGCTGCAATTACAGTGCTTCATTCTGTGGGAGTACTGCCATTTCCCTGCTGAGAGCAATGCTGTCCCTTTGGATGTGATCTCTCGAGCTGGTGGTGAAATCACCCATCTTGTGGACAGTGACAAGCATGTCGAGATAACTGAGAACAGCGTGAAGACCTTAGAACTGGAAGGACTTTGCTGGGAAAAACGTTTCCTGCACAAATGCATTGTGGTGGGGGTAATTTCTATGATATCAGATAGAATAATGTTTTACCAGACTAGGGAATTCTGGGTGATTAGCGCTACCAGTGGATACCAGTTTAGAAACACTGTTCACTTCCCACAGCTGAGCTGACAGTGTGGCATGGACTGGCCAGATCAAAGTAGTCTCAATATACCCCATATGAGTAGTAAAATATATTTCAGTGGTGCATTTGTGTTTATTTTTTTACGTGCTCCCATTTTGTTTGTAGGAAAGTAATTTTTTTCCTCCTCTGGATACATTAATTTGTCTGAGAGGGGTTGGGGCTGTGAGCTTTGATCAGTTTACTCAGTGAGTTTATCAACCATAGTTCAGTTCAGGGGTCATTTTGTAGAAAAAGAGGTGCAGGAGCTCATTAGCATAGCTTATTTCCATATGCCACACCCCCTGACATCACCGGAAGTGTGTCAGAAGGCAACACCCACCACTCAGGCTCCACTCGACTGTTTTGGATTGCTAGCTATGGGGGGG